ATTGTGGTACATTCACACAATGGAATACTATGCAGCATGCAGGAGCAATGATTTTGAAAATTACTACCTAACTTGGGAGAGACTGTAGAACATTATGCTAAGTGATCTAACTCAGTCTCATAAGGACAAATACTGTATAAGACCATTATTGTAGAATGCACATGAGAATCAAAGGGGTGGAGGTTGAGAGCAGAAGGGTGAGGACGGGTGGGAAGGGGAGTGGTTAATCATAAGGCCACATAATTTGACGGGTGGAGTGAGGAGTGGGTAAAGTAAATGGGAAAGATGTGGTGTGATAAACAACGTATACTAACTCTGTAAGTAGAGCAATTTATAACAAAAAATTATTTTTTTTTTTAAAAAAAGACCACTAACAAAATCCACTGTCATTAGATTGATTCTGACCCATAGCAAACCTCCAGAACAGAGCTGAACTGCAGCTTAAAGTTTTCAATGGTATACAGGTATAGAAGTAAAATGTCTCATCTTTCTCCCACGAAGAGGCTGGTGGGTTTGAACAGCCAATCTTTTGGTTGGCAGTCGAATACATAACCACTGCACCACCAGGGTTTCTCACTCTGTAAAGATTAAAATTCAAACCAAACCCACTGCTGTTGAGGGCTTCCAACTCATGGCTACCTTCCACTGAGTTTCTGAAGATAAGAGTCTTTACAGAAGACAGCTTCACTTTGTTCCCAAGTGGCTGGTGGATTTTACCTCCAACCTTTCTGTTGGCAGTCCAACATGTAATACACTATGCCAGCAGGGTCCCATCTATAAAGATGATATCAATGGAAATCCTGTAGAGCAGGTGTCCTATGAGTTGGAATCAATGTATGGCAATGGATTTGGGTTTTGAGTTGTTATTGTTCATTTCATGTAAAAGTTGGATGATGAAAAAGGAAGTCTGAAGAAGAATTGATACATTTAAGAGGTAGTCTGGAGAGGACTACTTAATATGGTATGTAGCCTTGAAAAATGAAAGAATTAGTACCACAAAAAGATAAAGGTAGACAACCCAATTGCAAAATGGGCACAGGATAGGAACAGACATTCAGGTGGCAAACAAACACATGAAGAAATGTTGAAAATCCCTAGCTCTAAGAGAAATGCAAATCAAAACAATTATGAGATATCACCTCACTCCTGTAATAATAGCAAAATTCTATAGAGCAGCAAACAACAAATGCTGGTGAGGTTGTGGAGAAACTGGAACCCTTATTCACTGTTGGTGGCAGTGTAAAATGATATAACCACAATGGAAGGCAGTATAGCACTTTCTCAAAAACTTGGAAATAGAAATACCATTTGACCCAGCAATTCCGCTACTGGTAATATACCCTAAAGAAACCAGAACTGCCACCCAACCAGATATATGCACACCCATATTTATTGTGGCTTTGTTCATAATAGCAAAGAATTGGAAATAACCCAAGTGCCCATCAACAAACGAATGGGTAGAGAAGCTGTGGTATAGTCACACAATGGAACCCTATTCAGCATTGAAAAACAAGACTTTCATGAAATACTATACAAAATGGGTGACCCTGGAGGACATTATTCTGTAGAAACATCTCAGTTACAAAGGGACAAATACTGCATAATGCCACTGTTATAAAATAGGACTGACATCAGAGTTGGGGGAAAACGAAAAAAAGCAGATAAATAATGTACATTGTATTGAAACAGATAAGGTAGAGAACTGTTTAAAAGGAATATATGATTAGGTATTATTTGCATGACAAGAGCCCATAATAAAAGCTGCATAGTAAAGTGGACTGGGGTGGGGGTGAGGTGTTATATAACAGTGCAATAATTTTTTTTTCCCAAAGATAAAAGCGAACTGGGGGTGAGGGGTGGGCAATGAGAAAAATGTGCAACAATGAATGAATGGAAATCCAAGGTCTCTATAAACTTTCATTAAAATCTCAATTTAAAAAAAAAAAGAAAAAGAAAAGAATTAGTCTTAGAAGAACTACAATGAACATATATATTGCTTTTGGTAGGATTACCATTTTCACCATATTGAGTCTTCTTACCCATGAACAGGGCAAATTTTTCCATTTCTTTAGGTCTTTTTATTTCGTCTTTCAGAAGTACTCTATAGTTTTCTTTGAATAGGTCTCTTGTATTTCTAGTTACATTCACTCCCAAGTATCTCAATTTGTGGTTGGCTATTGTCAATGGTATTGCTTCTTTATTTCAGTCTCTTTGTTAGTGTACAGGAATCCTATTGATTTCTGGATATTGATCTTATATCCTGCCACTCTACTAAATTAGCTTATAAAATTTTAAGAGTTTTTTGTTGAGTCATTGGGATTGTAACATGGTGCAACCATTCTGGAAGGCAGTTTGGCGCTTCCTCAAAAACTAAACATAGAAATTCATATGACCCAGCTATTCCACTACTTGGAATATACTCTGAGAATATGAGAACTGAGGCACAAACTGAGATTTGTATGCCAGTGTTCATAGCAGTATTATTCACCATTGCAAGATCATGGAAACAGCCCAGATGTCCAACCACAAACGAATGGATTGAGAAATTATGGTACATTCACACAATGAAATACTATGCAGCATGTAGGAGCAATAACTTTGTAAAATATTACCTAACTTGGGAAGGACTGGAAAACATTATTTTGAGTGAACTAACTCAGTCACATAAGGATAAATATCATATAAAACCATTATTGTAGAATGAGTATAAGGATCCAGGAGGGGTGGGAGAGGCTGGAAGCAGAGGAATGTGGATGTGTAGGGGGAAAAGGGGATTAATCATTGGGTTGTACAATTTGCTGGGTAGGGGACTGAGGGAAATTGAAAGAATTTGTTCAAATTTGTATTTGAATTTTTTAAATAAACTAGTAGGGGGGGAAAAGAACGAAAACTAGTAGGGGTGGGGGGTGGGGGAGAATGTTTTTTAGAAGCAAGATGCCAAGATTTCAACTTGCTAACTTTTATCATGTCATCACAAAAGTTCAAACTCTAGTAAATCCTTTCAACCAGGTGATTGACACGGTGACTGCTGCAATGGGCTCTTGTGTGTCAGGAAGTGTGAGGATGGTGCAGGACAGGACTAGGTTCAGATCTTTTATTCAGAGGGTCGCTATGAGTTGTACTCGACTTGAAGGCACCTAACAACAACAACAAGAACTAGCAAAGTAAAGGGTCAAGAATAATGAAGGGAAGCCCTCCCTGAGATGGACTGACACAGAAACTGCAGCCCTGGGCTCTAGTAAGGCAGGGATCCTCAAGACAGGCCAGGCTCCATTCTATTATCCATTAGTCACCATGAGCTGGAGCTGATTCAAGGACAACTAACAACAAAACTAACAAAAAGAAATACTGAGGCCTTTGAGTCGTGTTGTTGGAGAGAAGTACTGAATATCCCACGGACTGCCAAAACATCAAACAGGTCTTGGAGAAGGTGAAGCCAGATTGCTCTTTGGATGCAAGGATGGTGAAGCTTCATCTCACATACTTTGGGCATGTTACCAGGAGAGGATATTCTTTGGAGAAGGACATCATGCTTAGAAAGGTGGAGGGAAGGCGAAGGAGAGGAAGATCCTCAACCAAGAGGACTGGCACAGTGACTGCAGCAATGGGCTCGAGTGTGTCAGAGATTGTGAGGACGGCCCAGGATAGGACAGGGTTCAGATCTATCGTTTAGAGGGTTGCTATGAGTTGTACTTGACTCGACTGGCACCTAATACTAACAACAAAATAAAAAATATTATTACTAATACCATTATCAAAACAGTATTATTATTCTTACCATTATAAAAATGCAAATACCATTCTTTTGTGTCTCTCATCTCAGCACACAGGCATTTTTGAAGACAGAGAGGATGGCATATTGTGATCTCCCAAGCCTCACCCCAAGAATTCAGCACAAAGCTGACCCTAGCTGCAAGAATTCAGGGTAAAGTGAATGGAACGAACCACTCCTACCGGATGATTCTGTTCCTTCAGGGGGATTTCGGATCCGGGTTCTGCCTCCAAGCTAACGGAGTCCACGCACTCGGCAAGTGTGTCTTCGGTCACTTCTCCATTGAAGGGGGGCTCCACAGGTGGATCAGGGTGCCTGATGTCAGCAGTCTCTGCACTATTAACATCTGCAATTTCAGGCACGTCTGCTCTGGGGGCAGCTGGGCTTGGCACGTCTGAAATTGCAGCTGAACCACAGTGTGCTCCTGCATCACTGGGTAAAGAGTCACCGTTGGCCGTCTCCATAATTTCTGCTTTGTCTTCAGTGGCTAAGGTGTCACTGCCATCACCAGACATTTCTGTATCTGTTCAACACAATTAAAAACAAACCCTTTATGGTTTACTTTGAATGGTTAAGCTTTAATGTCAAGCCATTAGTAGTTAAATTAAATCTATGAGAGGTAAATTTTCTTTCAAAAAATAAGACACATGGAGTAGTAGTGTGGCTTGGGAGGAGATTGACCATCCTGTGGAACAGTTGGTGGATTTAAACTACGTGCATTCAGGGTTGCAGTGGAACTTCTTACCTCCAGGCCATCAGGGTTAAAGGGTTATTAGGGAGTTCTGATGGCTAGAGGTTAAGGAATTGTACTGCCAACCCAAAGTAAGGTAGTTCTAATTCACCAGCTGTTCTGCAGGGCAAAAGGACACTCTCCCCCGGTGCGATTTACAGCCTCTAAAATCTTGCTGGAAGGTCAGCAATGACTCATTGCTAGCTTGATGGAACCTAACAACAAAGAGACATTGCTGGTGTGAAGTTAAGGATTTGCAGAAAGATTATCTTGGGAAAGCCAGATGGATTTAAATGCATTCACCAAGTGTCCTTAGCAGAGGGGTGGGGAAAGAATTTATTCTGACGAGAACAAGGGTATATGATGGCAAGAACACTGGTTGGAGTAATGTGCTGTAAAGACAGAGAGAAGGACCACAGACCAAGGAAGACAGGCAGCTTCTAGAAGGCGAGAAAGACAAGGAAACCTCGTACCCCTTAAAATTCTCCAAAGGAGCCAGGTCTGACAATACCTTGGTGTTGGTCCAGCAGAACTAACTTCACACTTCTGACTAATAGAAACCTAATGAATCTGAGCAGCTTCGACATGTAACTTTGTGGTAAATTGACAGAGAAGCATTAAGAAAAGACAACAAACCGATGGTACTGTCTTAAAACTTTCATGGACCACTTACTGTGCATGATGGCGTGTGTATGAGGAAACTGAGATATTATCTGTATCTGTAAAAGCATTTAAATCTTACTTTATGGTCTACATTTGTAGCAGCTGTGGAAAGTCCCAAAAGATGAAGCACTGGTCTACTAGGTAGATTAACAGGACGCTGGTTTGATCACACCCAGGGGTACCTCGGAAAAAAGGTGTGGTGACTTGCTCCCAAAAAGTCACAGCCGTGAAAAGTTTATGCTGGTGGTGGTGTGTGTCATCAAGTCGACTACAACTCACAGAACGACAGATCTGAACCTTGCCTGTTCCTGCTCTGTCCTCACCACCTCTGATATGCTTGAGTCCATTGTTCAAGTCACCGTGTCAATGCATCTTGTGAGGGGCTTCCTCTCTCTGATCTTCCACCTTTCCAAGCATGATGTCCTTTTCCAAGGACTGGCCCGTCCTAACAACATGTATTTCCCTCTAAGGAGCCCCTGTGAACACCTTACAGGTGGGGATTCACCATCCTCACCTCTAAGGAACCCTCAGTAAATACCTTACAGGTGAAGTTTTACCATCCTTGCCTCTAAGGAGCCCCTTTGAACACCTTACAGGTGGGGATTTGCCTCTAAGGAGTGCTCAGTAAATACCTTACGGGGGTGGGGATGATTGACCATCCTGGCCTCTACGGAGCCCCTGTAAACACCTTACAGGTGGAAGATTCACCATCCTGGCCTCTACGGAACCCCTGTGAAAACCTTACAGAGCTGTTCTACTCTGTACCCACGGGGTTACCAGAGCTGAAACAGACTTGACGCCAGCTAACAATATGATCACTTTCATGAGACTAAGCATAAAAGAAAACCACACCAAAGGGTTTACAAAGAATACATTAGCTCTGAAATGATGTCATCAGAGTTCCACTGAAACAGTCATACACAAGGGTGCTGTGTTGGGTCAGCATTAACCCCTAGTGCAGGCCCTGGCTCTGGTGGGGCAATGGCCGAGGCAGAGAAAAACCAAGATGAAAGAGAAAGCAAAGAGGTGAGGTGTGTTGCCATCACAAAGTACAAGTTGTTTTTCGAAGCTTGTGGGTTATTGCTCAACAGAGTTTTCGGTGATGATAAAAAAATCTATGTCTGCATTGCTCAGTGTGGTAGCCACTATACACCTACGGCCATTTGGCATTTAAAACGTGACGAAAACCCTTTATGAGATGCATTGATCCAGTGACTGGGGTAATGGGAGTGGATGTGTCGGAGACAGTGCAATTGGCACTGGATAGAGCAGGATTTAGGGCTGTTGTACATAGGATCACTATGAGTCGCAAGTGACCTAATGGCATAACAGCAACAACAGTACAACTGAGAAACTGAGTTTCTTGTTATATTTTAAACAATTTCAATTTAAACTTCTATAACCATATGTAGATAATGGCTACTTCATTCCATGGCATGGATACTCTTCTCAGGTTAAGAATGAAGATACAGTGTTTTCACCACATACTGAAGTCAAATCTCAGACAAATCAGTGGGCATTTTTGTTGACCTCAGTATTTGCCAATTGGTCAAATCCCAGGTTGCAGTTAAAACCATGGTATATGAGAAGCCATATATCATGCGGGATGCATAGGAGACCAGGCTGAGAACCCCTATGTCTCATGCTAACCACTAGTCCCTCAAAAAGCTTTCTGGGCAAGCTCTGGTGACCTAGTGGCAAGAAGCTGCACTGTAATCCCAGAGGTATGCGGTTCAAATCCACCAGATGCTCTGCTGCAGAAGGAGGGACCATCTCCTCCTTTAACAGATCTGATCTGATGGTACACATATAATAAAAATAATAAAAATTTAAAAAAAAAGCTTTCCCCCCTAAGTTGTCTATTTTTCTTTTCTCAGTCTTAGTAAATTTCATCCCTGTATCAGTTTCACATTACTCTTCTAGGTTGTAATTTTCAACTAGCAAAAAGCTGCACTGCAATCCTGAAAGCACATGGTTCGAATCCACTAGCTGCTCCATGGGCGAAGGATGGGCAATCTCTTCCCATGCGATTAAGTGCCTCTGAAAACCCACCAGAGCGTCAGCTATGGGTCAGTTCTGACTTGACGGTACACAAGAACAGTACAAAGAGGGAGCTTTGGTGGCTTAGTGGTAAGGAGTTACTCTGCTAACACAAAAGAATATGGTTCTAATCCACCAACTGCTCTGAGAGAGAAAATATAGGCAATCTCCTCCCGTGTGATTTTACTGCCTCAGAAATGTTGCTAGACGATAACAACAACAATCCAAAGACAGAGAGCTCTGGCGGCCTACTGGGTAAGGAGTTGTGCTGCCAACTCAAAGGAAGGTGGTTCAAATCCACCAACTGCTCCATGGGAGAAAAATGGGCAATCTCCTCCCACATGATTTAGAGCCTTTGAAAACCCATGGGAGGGTCAACTATGAGTGAATTCAGACTCCACAGCAATGATGATGATGATCATGACCATCAATCCAAAGCAACAAGGAGCTCTGGTGGCACAGTCCATAGGGAGATGTGCTGCTAATCCAAAGGCCATAATGCTCCATTGGTTAAGTCTACCAGTGGCTCCTTGGAGGAAAGATGGGTAATCTCCTCCCGTGCCATCTGCAGCTTCAGAAACCCGATGGAGGGTCAGCTAGGTGCGAGTTTCAACTCAACAGTCATGAGTTCTGAGTTGAGTTTAAGTAATCTAAAGAGAAAGGAGATAATATTTTTTAGAGCTGAAGGGAAGGCAAAATGGGAAGTGACTGTTAGTGGCTATGGAGGTTTTTAAGGTGTTGGTAAAAAATGTTCTAAAATTCAGTACTGATGATGTCGAACATACACTTGAACTGTATACTTTATAAAGGTGAATTCTATGGCACGTGAATTTATCCTACCTGTATAAATTTAAAAAAATAAAATCTGTCTACAGATTACTTGTTCCAATGAGCATTTGGACATTTCTTCTGGCCCAAAATTTATTTTACAGTTAATACTAGATCTTCCTCTTAACTTTTCTTTCAATTGTTGTTGTTATTCTTTGGTGTTGTTAAGCCGAGTACAGCTCCTAGTAACCCTATGAACAACAGATTTGAACCCATTTCTATCCTGTGCCATCTTCACAACTTCCTGACACATTAGAGCACATTGTGGAAGTCACTGTGCCAATCCACCTGGTTGAGGGTCTTCCTTTCCTTCACCAATCCTACCTTTCTGAGCATCGTGTTCTTCTCCAAGGAATAGAACCTCCTAGCAACATGCCCAAAGTATGTGAGGTGAAGCCTCATCATCCTTACCTCCAAAGAGCACTCTGGCAGTACCCTCTCCAAGACATATTTTGTTGTTGTTGTTCTTTTGGCAGTCCATAGGTTGTTCAGCGCTCTTCTCCACCACCACAGCTCAAAGGCATCAATTTTTTTTTCTGTCATCCTTATTCTTTGTCCAGCCCTCAGATGCACAGCAAGTAATCAGAAAGACTATGGCCTGAATCAGATGCACCTTAGTCCTCAAACTGGTATCATCACTCCTCAATAAATTGGAGAGGTCCCTAACTGCAGACTTTCCCAATACATCTCCTGGTTTCCTGACTGCTGGTACCAAGGATGCTAATTGTGGATACAAGTAAGATGAAGCTGACAGTTTCAATCTTTTCTTCATCCATTTATGATGCTGCTCCATCCATCATAACGTTGCCTGTGGTAAGAATCTGTGTTTTCTTGACATTGAGCTGCAATCCATATTGAAAGCTGCATTCCTTGATCTTCTGCAACAAATGCTTCAAGCCCTCCTCGCTTTCAGCAAGCAAGGTTATGTCATCTGCACAGCACAGGTTATTGATGAGTCTTCCTCCGATCCTGAGGCCATATTTCTCTTCAGAGAGCCCAGCTTCTCGAATAAATCACTCAACTCACAAACTGAACAGGTATGGAAAGAAAATACAACCTTGGCACACTTCCTAATTTTAAAATCATGCAGTATTCATTCCCTTCCTCTGTTTGTACAACAGCCACCTAGCCATGGTAAAGGTTTCACATGAGCATAAGTAAGTGCACTGCGATTCCCATTCTCAATGTCAGCCACAACTTGTTATGATCCACACAGACAAATGCCTTTGCATAGACATAAATAGACATTTTTTT